ATGTCCTTCATCATCTTTTATGGTGGATTTTGTTTCAAAATCTATTTTATCTAAGATTAGTATTGCCACTCTTGCTCTTTTTTGTTGCTGTTTGCTTGATATATATTTTTTCCATCCTTTGATTTTTAATAAATTTATGTCTTTGTTTCTAAGATGCGTCTCTTCTGGACAGCATATTGATGGGTCTTGTTTTTTTAATCCATTCTGTCACTCTCTTTCTCTTTATGGGTGCATTTAGGCCATTTACATTCAGTGTAATTATTGATAGGTGTGATTTTATTGCTGTCATTTTGTAGTGCGTTTTTGTGATTCTGAGGTTTTCTTTTTCATCTTACTGTTCTGTGCTGAATTCCTTCTGTTTGTGGGTTTTTTTCCTTTTGTTTTGTAGATTTTGTGTTTACTAAGACTTTATGGTTTTCTTCTTTATTTTGATGAGTAGGTTTGTTAACTTTCTTTGTGGTTACCTTGAAATTTACCCCTGTCTTTCTAAGTTTAAACCAGTGTTTTATTATCTCCTTGACCTCCTCTTCATCTGAAAGTTCTTTACTTACACTGTTTACTCCCTCTTTTGTTGTTCTGATGTTGTTTCATTTACAGATTGACATCTCTCTTTTCCTGTTGTAAATCTTTTAGTTTTGTTTTATCCTTGACAGTTCATTAACTAGGTTGCTATCTGGCTGATGCTGTCTTGTGTCCTAGATTTAGGTTGTTGATGATGTTGTTGGTTCTCTAACAGAAGGGCTCCCTTTAATAATTCTTGTAAGTTTACTTTGGTTTTTACATATTCCCTTAATTTCTGTTTATCTGGAAATGTCTTAATTTCACAATCATATTTGAGTGAGAGTTTTGCAGAATATATTATTCTTGGTTGGCAATTTTTTTCTTTCAAGATTTTATATATGTCATCCCATTGCCTTCTTGTCTGCATGGTTTCTGATGAGTAATTAGAGCTTAGTCTTATTGTTTCCCCTTTGTATGTGACTCTTCATTTTTCTTTAGCTGCTCTTAGGATTCCTTCTTTGTCTCTAGTTTTAGCAAGTGTGATTATGATATATCTTGGTGATTTTCTTTTGGGCTCTAGCCTATATGGGGTTCACTGAACTTCCTGAATGGTCAGATAAGATTGCAAAAATTTTTCATAATTTTTTAAATTTTGAGAACAATCTTTCTGCTGATCCACCTTTTACTAAAGTGGTTAGAATATTTTCTAGACTGTGGCAACATTGGCATAAATTTCTGATAAATAATTTTGAAATATAAATTTTAGTACATCTGGAACTGATGATTATTGCAGAACACTTTTTCTACAAAATGTAGCCTTCATACAAATCAGTTTTGTGTAAGTCTGAATTTAATTTTAAGTATAAATTTATACAATAGCAATTTTTGTTGTAAAAATATAGATAACACAACATTTGCCAGTTCAACATCTTTCATGTTTACAATGCAGTGACACCAACTGCATCAATCATGTTGTTCAACTATCATCAGTATCTGTTGCCAAATTTTCCATCACCATAAACAGAAACTCAGGACTTCCTAAACAATCATTCTGCCTCCCCAACTCCCTTCCACCCCTGGTAAACACTATTAAACTTTGATATCTATACCTTTGCCTATTCTAGGTATTTCACATAAGTGAGATCATACAAAAAAATGGCATTTGAATATTTCCTCTGACATTTCCTGTAATTTATGGAGTTTGTACAAGAAACTGAAAACGACATCATGATTTGCTTGTATTTCAAGATTCAAAAACCCGAACCTGTTGCTGCTGAGTCGATTCCCGCTCATAATGACCCTACAAGACAGAGTAGAACTTCCCCATAGGGTTTCCAAGGAGTGGCTGGTAGATTCAAACTGCTGACCTTTTGGTAAGCAGCTGTAGCTCTTAACCACTGTGCCATCTCTTTCATTTTTAGGATAAGTAAATTACTTATATTTTTTTTACTCAGTTGGAGAATAATGGAAACTAAGGTAAAGTAGACCTCAGCAATATCTTTATCAGAACTGATCAGTTTTATCAAGGGTGAAATAAACTGTTCCATGACCACGGCCTGCATTTTGAGCCCTCTTCTCACAAATACAGACTTCTGGGCACCAAGCCGACCAGGCAAGAGAAGTGGCTCACCTAGTTCAAAGTCTAGCACCAGAAAAATAATTCAAAGCCAACAGACACTTGTCTTATATTGATAAAATGGCTGCAGCAGCCCAAGACTGTACAATCTCCCACAGTCAAACCTTATTCCTGGAATTCCCAACAAAATCTCATTATACACCATTGGTTCTGAACTCCAGTAGAATGTGATATGCTGTTGTATTTAGGTCTGCAATTAGGAAGAGTGGCTTATCCAAACCAGATGGATCAAGAATGGGAGAGTACATCAGTGTTCATTGCAGCATTATTTAAAATAGCCAAAAGGTAGAAACAACCCAAGTGACCAACAGATGAATGGATAAACAAATGTGGTACATACCTACAAAGGACTATTATTCAGCCATAAAGAGAAATGAAGTCTTGATACATGCTACAACATGAATGAACCTTGCAAACATTATGCTAAGTGAAATAAGTCAGATACAAAAGGACAAATATTGTATGATCCCACTTATATGAAATCTGTAGAATGGGAAATGCATAGAAACAAAAGTTTATCAATAGTTACCAGGGGATGGGAGAGGGAGAATGAGGATTGATTGCTTAAGGGGTACTAGGTTTCTGTTTGGGGTGATAATTTCTTTTTTTTTTTTTGGAAATGGATAGTTGGGACAGTTGCCCAGTATGGCAAATGTGATTAATGTTACTGAGTTGTACACTTAAGACTGATTGAAACAGCAATTTTTTTATGATATATATTTTGCTACAATAAAAAAGAAAAGGAGAAGTGTGGACCCCCAAATACTTGAAACTAGAGTAAAAGTATACATTGCAGCCAAAGGTAACAAATATCTTCCCTAGTAGTGGAAGTAATGGAGGCTGAGTTCTCCCTTTGAATTAGAAGTCATCTTAGGGTAAGAGAACGGGCTCAAGCTGTACTCACAGATCATTTGTTCCCATACCAATTTGATTATCAACATTGATCAGATCATAATAATTGACAACAGTCCATTTTACTCTAACTGTGTATTGACATAGCTCCATGGGAAGAGATTAAGAGACGTGATCAAGCTCACACAGGACATGATTGTACTACAGCAAATGGGTAAGGCTTCATATAAAAGAAATAATAGTTTTATACAGTGTTTATGTTTGGACCCTTGAATTAGTATTCTCAGTGGCCATTCTCAATCACATCTGAATTTACAGTTGCTGAAACTGCATTCTTATTTCTTATTGCAGGTTTTCATGTTCAGTTAAACAATGGTTCTGGATTTCAGCAAAACCAAGTCGAAAAACTCTCTGCCAAATGATAAGGCTGTTGAGGAAATCCAAACCTTTATTTTTGGTCTGTAATGGTGGTACTGTCTTCATTGTCAAGTTCTCAGGAATAGATGCTCCAATTCTTTTTCCTCTTTTCCCTTGTCCTCTAATTACAATTGCATCTAAGTGTCCTGGAGCTGATGCTTCCCTTACGTATTGCCAAGACAGAAAGAAAATATGACTCCATTGGCTGCTGTACTTATAATGGTTCCTAAAACCCAGCAAGAAAACCACAGTGCTCTTGGCAAACAAACAATTGGAAAGTACAGGTGCTGGGAGTGTGCACAGGCCCAAAATCAACATGACTTGGGAGGAGAGGGGGTTGGATAACAAAGAAAGGTGCTTTTCATTCAGAGAAATTTATTTCTTTTAAATATTTGCGATCTGCAGCCGATAGCGCATGAGGCCACTTGGCATTATTTCCCAACAAAGGGGAGGGCTGGCTGGTAATAAGCAGATGCTTGAGCGACCTGTGGCGTGAGGTGCACCATCAGTCAAGAAGATCAATATTTACTGTTCTTGTATCTTTGTGGTGAAAGTTTGCTCTTCTTAAAAAAAAAAGTAGGAGCTGTGCTTTAATATATAGAGCATGATTTAACTTCAGGCAGTGAATCAGTTGAAAGCAGCAAGGTCTTCAATGACGAAATGCTCAAGGTTGTAAGGAGTAAAATGCATCTGGCTCATGATAGTGGCAGTCTTTTCTCCATTCCTTCTTTTTTTATTCCAGTTAAATCATACCTTGATGAAAGGCACAAACTGAATGTAATCCTGTATTCAAAGTATGTTTTGCAATATAATTTAGTTCAGTTTGGTTTGACTCAACATATATCAATAAAGCAGCGTGTCTCCTGTAGTAGGAATGGTGCTAGGCACTGGCATGACTAAGATGAAGAAAAGATGAGTCACTGCTTTATCTTCTTTGGTGCCTCAGTTTCCCCAGTTTGTCATGCTTAGAGCACAAAGGAGAGTCCTATGAGATAGGGTGAAGCGACAAATAGATGCTGGGTTATGACCAACTTCCTAAACCATGGAAAGGGTCTTGTATTTTATGCTTTAGATCAAAGTGGGTTTTACACTTCTAATGTGCATATGAATAAAGTAGAGACCTGGTTAAAATGCAGATCGTGATACAGTAGGTCTGCAGTAGGGCCAGAGAATCTCCATTTCTAACAAGCTCCTAGGTAATGCTAATGGTGGACCGCACTTTGAGTAACAAGAATCTAGTTATTACTTGTATCAACTCATCTGTGATGCTTGTTAACAGTGCACCTTCCTGGAAACTCCCCCCAAACCATTTAAGTCAGAATCTTCATGTAAACATGTTGTCCAGGAGGTTTTTATGTACAGTAAATTTGAGAACTGTTGCTTAGATGATGGGAAGCCATTGAACAATATGAAGAAGGCAAGGGACATTTTTAGATTTAGGTTTTATAAAGAGGATATGAAAAAGAGAATTACACTGAAGTGAGTTGCAAGCAAGGAAACTGGTAGAGAAGCCAAGGCAGAGGGACTGTGGAGGAGGGAATAATCTGGAAGACATTGAGAGAGTGAGATTGCCAGGATTTAGTCATGAAGGGATATGGGGGTGAGGGGGAAAGAGGCTGGGGTGACCTTCCAGGTTCTGGCTGGGATGCCTGAATTGCTGGTCCTGCCAACACTAAGATGGGGAAGCAGTATGGTGAGGGTTAATTAAGAACATGGGTTTTAGAGTAGGAAAGAATGAATTTGAGGCCTGCCTCCAACACTTGCTAGTTATACAGTCTTGTTAAGTTAGTTTTCCACTTGTAAAATGGTGATAATAGTTATTGTGAGATAGCACTATCCCCATTTTTCAAAGGTAGAAACTGAGAAATAGGTAAGTAAGCCCCAGGAGTCCTTGGGTGATGCAGTTAACATGCTTGGATGCTAACTGAAAGTTTGGAGATTTGAGTCCACCCAGAGGCATCTTGGAAGAAAGGCCTGGTGATTTACTTCCAAAAAATCAGCCATTTAAGACTCTATGGAGTGCAGTTCTACTCTGACACACATGGGATCGCCATGAGTCAGAACTGACTTTATGGCAACTGGAAAAAAAAAAAAAAAGTCACCCCAGCTTGTACAGAGAAAAGTAAAGAAGAAATTTGGCTGTGGGCCTTTTTGATTTTACAGCCCCTGCTCTTGACCATTACCTCCAAGGTTTATTCATAGATAAATACTCTCCAGTTGGGCAGTTGGGCGCTAACCTAGTTGTACAGACACTTTCCCCTCATTTCACTTTCTCTCAAGGTTTTTCTCACACTGGTAATCACTACTGCTCCTAAGGTATCCCTCTCCTTTCAGAATTGTAGAAAACATTTTCCTTTGGCTCATCTGAGATGATTCTCAATAAGACTTCAGTTAATACCAAGTGAATTTGAGAATAGTAATAACATTGGCAACAACAATGCAGTAAGCCTTAGAGAGTATCTGTTCTGATCCTTCCTCAGTTAATCTCCTACACCTTATCACTGTTACAGCTTGCCTGGGTCACTCAGTTCCCAGCTCTTTTCCTGCTTTTGAAGAGGTGTGCATCTTCTTAGGAGTCCCTTAGTGATGCAGATGGTTAATGTGCTTGGCCACTAACGGAAAGGTTGGCGGTTCAAGTCCATCCAGAGGTGCCTCAGAAGAAATGCTTGGCAATATCCTTCCGAAAAATCAGCCATTGAAATCCTATGGAGCACATTCTAGTCTGACAACCATGGAGTTGCCATAAGTTGGAATCGACCTCATGGCAGCTGGTACTCGTGGTGTCTTCTTAAAGCCTCTGTCCTTGTGGTTTTGTTCTAGCTGCCTTACCTCCATGACCTGCAGTCATGGTAAAGGGAGAGTTCTTCTGTGGTGCCATCCTAAGATGCCCCTGTCTTTTCAAAGTCTGGCTTGAGGTACAAGCCTTTTCTTATGGAATGGGTGGGATGGAGTGAGTGTATGGCCGTATGGACCTACACAATTGAACACCTAACCCTTTCGATGAGATCTTATTCCTCACAGGAGTGGCTTATTTTCTTATAGACTCAGCACCCTCACAATACCCTAAACACATAACATTCAGTATTTGCAAATGATAAAAATTACAAACAGACCCTAATGAGCAGTTAATGCTAAATACATGTTTGCTGGGAGTTAAAATAAAATCAGATTTTCCTTATTTATGGCTTTATTTCATATTAATTGATCAGCCAATATCTTAGTATCTCTTTCCTTCTTTGCTGACTCTTTCGGTTCTTTCACTTTATCTCTGTTCTCTTTCCCTGTGCCATGCCTTTGGCCTCTGACACACTGACTGTCCCCTGTGCTTGGAATGGCCCTCACCCAAGAACTTACACAGCTTATTCCCTCGGCCTTTGAATCTTAGCTTTAATGTTACCTGTCCATGGAGCTACCTCTTGTGTCTGTATATAAATTATCATACTATCCTCATCAATTTCCATTTCCCTTACCTTGCATTGTTTTTCTTCTTAGCGATAGAAAAATATCTGCCTAATTTCTTACAGATGTATTTGATGATTTATTTATTTTTTTTGTCAGCCTCTGCTAGAATGTCAGGAAAAGTCCTGGTGATCTACTTCTGAAAAATCAGCCAGTGAAAACTCCGTGGGTCATAACTATCTGATACCATTGTGCATGGGGTCACCATGAGTCAGGGGCCAACTCAACCACAGCTAGCAACGACAAACTAGAATGTCAATTTCATGAGTGCAGGGACTTCATCTTCTGTGTCCCCAGCATCTAGCAGAATGTCTGGCACATGGTTTAACTGAATAAAAATCTGTTCAATGAACAAATAAATAAATTAACCGGTCCCTTTAATGAAACACATGGGAAGGTTGGGCATGTATAGGAAACGAGAGTCAGTTCCATTTGTTTTCAGAATTGTTTCATGTAAAAAATAAAGCAGCAGAAATACTTTTAAATGATCACTTATTTAGGGAAGTAAGAGTGGTAACTGGCAGTGGTAACTTTATTTTGTGTATTTTTCCCTTCTACCTTATAGCACAGCCCTCATCATGAAAGAACCGCTTTGCCCTGCTCCAGATTCATTGCTCACATGAAGAATTTCTCTGAATCTCTGAAATTTAGTGAACTACATTTTCTACATCTTCCAGGTAAATTAAGAAATAATCCCAAGAAAGACTTTTATCTTCAGAGAAACTCTGGAGTATACACAGGTAAAAGTCATACTTTATTGAAGAACACCTGAGCTGTGGTTGAAAATGGCAACGAGAGAAGGAATTGATTGGCTTAAGACATGGATGGATCCAGGGTCCACCGATGTTATCACGATTGTCTTTTTTTTTTTTTTTTTCCAGTCTACATGTTGGTTTCAATCTCACATTGGCTTCATTTTCAAGATGAATGGCAATAATGGGCCCTGGCAGCTGCAGGAGTGCATGATTCTTAGAGCCTGTAATATTAAAAGTAAAGAAATCCTCTTTTGTCCGCTGTCCTGTAACCTCCTAACCAAAGACTTTGATTGGCCATACTTGGGTCACATGTTCACGCCTGGAACAACCAGTGTGTCTGGAGAATGGGGCATACAAATCAATTTTTGCTACTCCTGAGGCAGGGGTGACAGGCTCCTTAATTGACAGCTGCATTTAAATTACACACAATGTGTGTGTGTGTGTGAAAGACAGAAGGACTGAGTTAGAGATGGTGGAGAGAGAGAGAGAATAGAATAGAACGAATGGGATGGGATAGAATAGAATAGAATAGATGCAGGGATAATTCCCAAAAATAAACTGATCTGGGGCAATCAAAAGACTATCATTTTGTGTCAGAGCCAAAATGATATGTGGTTGTGTTAGTTATAAACAACATTGTCACCATAGACTATTATAGGAAAGACCTGGACCCATTCATAATCTCCATTTTGATGACTATTTCACTATCCTGAAAGGGTAAATGAATTTACATGTCCAGTGTATTACCTAAGAGAAAATTAAGTTTTTAGGACAATTGGAATTTATAAAACCAGTAACTGCTATACTTTTTTTAGTGGGAGGGCAATTTTTTTTTTAGAATGTATTCACTTGTTTACTTGTATTTATATATTGACAAAGTTTTTTTGCATATATGTAGAAGTCAGGCTATTGAAAGGTTTTGTTGATTTTATGATAGTTTCAAAGTCTTAGAGTAATGCAGTTTTAATGGGGTCTTTGATAATCACATTTTAGTACCCACACAAACTCTTCTTCTTCCTTTAGAAATATTTAGAAAACTTAGAGGGGGTAATATGTTTTACATGGTTCAAAAACCAAAAATATAAAGAAATACACAGTGGAAAATTTTGTTCCTACTTCTGCTCCAGTTTGCTTTGTTGTCCCCACTCCCACAGGAAAGCACTGTTGTTGGTTTCTTGGGAGTCATTCCACATTTTCTCTAAGCAAATGGAAGTATGTATATGAGCAGTACAAGTGTGCAGCAATATTTTGCACCTCGCTGTCTTCACTTAACACTCTGTCTTGGAGCTCTTCCCACATCCGTACATTGAGATTGTCCTCATTCATTCTTCTTAAAATTTCAGAGTAACATATTTTATGGATGTGTCTTAACCTATTGAGCTAGTTTTCTTTGATGGACACTAGTGATTCCCACCAAAAGATAAATAAAATAATATGGATTTTATATTTTGGAGCTCTGATAGCATATTTAAAAAATGGGTTTTGACCCAGTCTACTTGTTTGTTAGTTTTATAGAAAGAACAATGTAGGCTTACTTCCAGCCAACTGATATAATCCAGGAAAAGTAAATGCCAACTTTTAAATTATTTTCAAAATACAGTGGGGGAACAGAGAACATAATTGCCACTATCACTATCTGAAAAATGTTTGGCTTCAAGATTCAACATACCAGGATTTTGAGAGTTGAGATTATGAATATAACTTTGAGAAATGCCATGGAATATAATTACACGGCTTGTTCTGATAGCTCTAAATTCCTGCATTTTGATATCTGTCTTAAATTTGATGCCAAGAAGCTTTGGGCATGCTGAAATTCCCACTGACGAGTGGAGATTCTCTGGAGGTGAGGGACTCACTTGGTTGTAGGTAGATCTCATCTTTAAACAGATGAGCAGCAGCATTCTGGTTCTGGGAGCCGTATCTGGATAGGAGCAGAGCCCCTGTCCATAGCCAGAATGATGGGGGTTAGGGTTAGGCACCTGGGACCAGAGAAGAGCCAAAGCTAGATTGGTTGCTAGGCAATGGGGACCTTACTGTTTTTTTTTTTTAAGCAAGAGAGTGATGTAATTCAATTTGTATTTAGCAGCAGTTAGATGCAGTGATTGAGGGGGCAAGACTGCAGGCAGGAAAAGCACTTTTAAGGCTATTACAATCATCTAAGTGAAAAATGAAAAGAGCATGAAATGGCAGTGAAGTTGGAGGAAAGAGGATGACTAAGAGAGATATTTAGGTGGTAATGTCAACAGGACTTGGTCGTGGATTAAAAAAATGAAGATAGAGGGAGAGAGCTGAGTTGAAAGAGGTTTTATGTATTCATAAAATCATTCAACAAAGGATGGTTGAGGACATATTATCTGCAGGTTAATCTGCAGATTTTTGGGACACGGAATTGAACAGATAGATAAGATTCTTGCCCTTTTGGAATGTGCCTTTTGGGAGATAGAGACAATTAATAAGTAAACAAATAAGTAAGCATTGTATGAAAGCTATGAAGATAATCGCTTGATGATACCTTGTGCCCTTTCGTAGTTAACTCCTCTCCCTCCCATACCAGCCCCTGGCAACCACTGATGAGTTTTACGTCCTTATGGTTTTGCCTTTTCCAGACTGTTATATAAATGGAATCATACAGTATATAATATTTTAAGTCTAACCTCTTTCACTTGGTGTAATGCATTTGCAATTTATCCTATGTGTCTTTGGGAAACTTTTTTGGGGTGATGGAAATCTATATTTTGATTGTGGTATTGGTTACAAATTTGCATGTGTTTGTCAAAACTCATAGAACTGGACACACCAAAATGGGTGAATTTCGCTGTATATCAATTGTACTTTAATAAACTTGACTTTTAAGAAAATCATATTTTAAAAAAAGAAAGAAAGAAAAAAATAAAACGGACTAATGAATGAGAGTAACTGAGGAGAGGGCAGAGGGCTGAGAGTTATTTGAGATATGGTGGTCAGGGATGACCTCTCTGAGAAGCTGACATTCAGTCTAAGCTTTGTGTATTTGATGTGTTCAGAAAAGAGAAAGGAGACCAGTGTGGGCAGACTATAGTTAATAAAGAGGAGAGTGGTACAAATTAAAGTTATGAAGAGCCTTGTAGGTCACATTGAGGATTTTCTGGATTTTGTCCTAAGTAAAATGAAAGACCATTAAACACTTCAGGCAAGGATGTGCTATCTTCTGATTTACTTTTAAAAATGACCACACTGTTGTTGTTTTAAATTCTTAACTAAAGAAAGAACAACTGAGGAAGCTGGGAGACAACTAGGAGACTATGGCAAAAGCTCAAATTGAATTGGATGATGGCAATAGCAATGAGGATGGAAACGAGTGGGTGGAGGTTAGAAATAATTTGTAGGTGAGTAAAACTAATAAGACTTTCTGATGGTTAGGCTTTGCGGGTAAGGGCAAAGAAGAAATCAAGTATAACTCTAGGTTTTTGGCTTGAAAAAACTGGATGATGATACAGCCATTTACTGGTTTGGGTAATTATTGAGTGAAGACCAGTTTTAGAGAGTAACATAAAAAATAGACTAAGACCACCTTTTCCCCATGAGCTCAGCCACAAAGTCTTGAGGTTTTTGATCAATCTGGATCAGTACTTCTTCCAAGATGCTGCCTCATAGTCTTCTTTTTGAAACATAATACCTATAATATCACATCCTTGGGATCTCTTTAATTTCTATCCTTTTTAGAACTCTACTAAGCAAAATGCACAAAATTGCAAAAATGGTAACAACAATTCATCATATCCTTGAATATACACCAAGTTGAAAAGCTTTTCTACTCCTCTCATCAACAAGTGCAGTTTATTTCTCCACTCCTTGAATCTGGGCTTGTCCACGTGACTTGTGGCCAATGGGACATTAGCAAATATAATACAAATTGAGAATTGAAAAGTGCTTATGCATTAGAACTTGCCCTCTCTCAATACTGAGAACCTCTGAGAATGAGTCTAGGCTATCCTTTCGGATGATGAGTAACATGAGCTTGTCACCCCAGCTGACAGGTAGATATGCAAGGCTTTCTTTAGACCAAATTGTCTGCCAATTGTCAGATACGTAAGTGTGCTTGTCCTAAAATATCTAGCCCAACCCAAGTCAACTCAGACCAGGAGAACTGCCTAGTTAAACCCAAAGAACCTTGGGGGAATAATAAAAAAATAAATAAAAGTTTCCTTCTTTTTTTTGTAATCCAGAAATTTTTAGAATGGTTTATTGCAGTGATGTTTGCAAATTAATGGTGGACCAACTATAGCACCTAGACAGACTGGCCAATGAATGGGGGTTAAAATGATCTACAACAAAAACTTGTTGGAGTTCTTGATCAAGGTTGACTCCTTGTCAGTTCACCAGTGGAGCATCAACCTCTGATTTTCCTCTTCTGACTATGATCATGAGATCAGATGCCAGATCCAACATGGCAGCAATGGTCAAAAGAGGAGTATTTGGAGTCCCAGTTGGCCTGATGAGCAACTGGGGCCTTGCCCTCAGCAGACAGGTGGAGAATTTCTCTTGTAATGTACTTAAAATAACTTTTTGGTTAAAAGCAATAAATATACATTTATTTAAAATAACAAGTAGACATTAAATTGCTGTTTTTGTTTTTTAAGTAAACCAAATCCAAGTGGCACAGAAAGAAGAGAAAATGGAATACTATAAAGCTAAACCCAATTTCTTATCAGCTGAGCAGAAGTTAGCAAAGAAGACCATTCTGTCTAATAGAGATATCTCCATGGACATGAACAGATGCAAACATTCAAGTCAGCATATTTATAGATGTTATGCTTGTTTGTGGCTTAAAATAAAGGCCTGAGCTGGATTTAAAAAAATATGGGATCATCATCATATAGGTCATGAAGAAGTCTTGGGAGTGGATGAGATGATCAAGAGAGGGGATAAGATAAGGGGGCTGA